CCTAAACCCTAAACCCTAAACCCCTAAACCCTAAACCCCTCTTAGTATAGGGGGGAAGATCCCGATAGAATTCTCTGAAACCGTGCATTGCATGTGCCCCCCCCCCCCCCCCCCCCACGGATGCCAGCGATCCGTAAGCTCTGAAAGCTCTCTGGCGCAGGCTTCGAAGGCTTCAACCGTCGTAGGCCCAGGTGTGGGTTTAGGGTTTAGGGCTTAGGGTTGAGCATTTCGGCTTGGAGACTCCAGTTCCTTATCTAGGATGCCCAGCAGTGACCTTACTCCAATCTTGTTGGGGGTTTGGTTCCCTTATGAACCCCTCTAAGCACAAAAAAGGGCACCCTTTGAAATCCCAGCTTGCTGGGCAAGCTAGCTATCGACATTGGTGAGTGTACATTTTGTGCGTCATCCTGGGGACGCGAATCTCGGCTAATCATCGAAACCCCGAAGCACTACACCCTAAACCCGGATCTATAGAAGACACTAAACCCTATAATGTCCCTTTGGGGATACTAGGAATGAAAGCCATACTCTTCAGTTGGCTTCTGATGTAACTATTCGCCGCCACTTTAGCCGATAGTCGGCGGGCAGAAGGGTTCTACCGGAATCCTAAACCCTAAACCCTAAACCCTGAACCCCGCTCTAAATCTTAGGGAGCCACCTTTCGATTCAAGTGAAAGTGATGCCTACGTCCCCGGACCGGCCATGAAGGGCCGGAATCCTCGAGCACTGCTTGGGCAATGAGGGTTTAGGGTTTAGGGCTAGGGTTTAGGGTTTAGGGTTCAGGGTTTAGGGTTTAGGGCACAGGAATTTCTGGCATACCAGCTTGCTCCTCTGAGACGTACCCCTATGTTGATTGTCACCCCTTGGTTATGTATGACATGCAATGTATCAAGAATGGCTTGTTGTTTTGCACATACGTGTCTTAACCCAGATATTGCTTATTGATGCTTGTCTTTTTGTGTCTTTAGCAGCCTCTCACCCTATAAACCCTACAAACCCTATAAACCCAAATCTAAACACCCTAAACCCCAAACCCTATTCTTTGTCTCCACGCCCTTTCCTTCCCCCCACCCCCCTCCCCGCTTCATGTCTGATTGAGTTGATTTCACTGAGCACGCCGAAGACCTGTCCGCAAGTCCGCGCAGCAGGGTTGAGGGGTTTGGGGTTTAGGGTTTAGGGTTTAAGATTTAGGGTTTAGGATTTAGCGTTTAGGGTTTAGGACAACCCCAGATCCCAAACTCGTTGAAGCCTAAAGCCCATATGGCACCCGATGGAGCTCCCCAAAAGCTAAATTCGCCCCAGAAACCCAAAACCCTAAACCATAAACCCTAATCCTAAACCCTGAACCCTAAACCCGAATCCCTAATCCCGAAACCCGAAAACCCTAAAACCCTAAAACCTAAACCCCCAAAATCTATGTCCCCCGAAATTCCTCAACCCCCTTGAGCCGCCCAATTCCCTAAACCCTCAACCCCCTAGACCTCTAGGATTTAGGAGTTTAGGGCTTTGGGTTTTCGGGTGTAGGGTTTAGGGTTTTAGGATTTAGGGTTTTTTAGGGTTTATGGTTTTAGGGTTTAGGGCAGTTTAGGGTTGAGGGTTGAGGGTTTAGGGTTTAGGGTTTGGGGACCCCTAACCCGAAGGCCGAAGCCAATTGCCCAGGCCGCGCCACGGCCGTGATGATCAAGGCGGCAGTTGGCCAAGGGCAGCTACAGGCCGGGTGGAGTTTTCTGGATTTTAATGAGGGTTTTAGGGTTTTCTGGGTTTTCTGGGATTTGGGGATTTTTGGGAGTACGTCGTTTGCAGGGTAACGTATTCTTAGGGTTGAGGGTGGTTTTCACTGGCGTTTTCTCAGGGTTTTGGGTTTAGGGCTTAGGGTTTGGAGTGTTGATTACAGGGCTCAAAGGAGTTCTAACGTGTTTTTGCATTTACGGTGTTGTGGCGGGCCTTGTTTATTTCGCACAAAGCTCCTATAAGCCCTAAGCCATAAACAGGCCCAGTGGCGATTCCGCCTACTGTTGATCACTCACACCTTAGCACATTAATGCCTGAACACCCCTACCCCCGACATCCTGAACCTAAAGCCCCAAACCAAAAAACCCAAATCCCAAAGCCTCAACCCCTAAAGCCTCAACCCCTAAACCCTAAACCCCAAACCCTAAACCCCAAACCCTAAACCCCAAACCCTAAACCCCAAAACCTAAACCCCAAACCCTAAACTGCAGCCCGAAAGCCCTCCAGGTCACCTTCGATGAGCAGGCAGCATGTCCCCCGCTGCAGCCACACCAGGAGGCCATGCGCTTTGGGCTTGTAGGGTTTCTGGGGTCATGGGGTTTAGGGTTTAGGGTTTAGGGTTTGGGGTTTAGGGTTTAGGGTTCAGACTTTCATGGTCATGGGATTGGAGATCTCATGCTACCTAGAACATCGTCCAATGACGCCCCTATTTTGAAGGTTTAGGACTCTTTGGCCCCCGTGCTGGTGGTCTTGCAGCCGGGCCATAGTGGGGATCGACATAAGACGCAGGCTGTAAAGGCTCTTAGCAGAGGGGGTGAAGATGCAGGACTCAAGCCAACATAAAACGTCGTAAACGTGTGCTTTTGTGGCAGGATGTGAGTTTCGATGCTACCCCCGCCCCCACCAGCCATCTATTCACCACTTTCGTGGTGGGGATAGTGGTCCCTGTGTGTGTGTGTGTGTGTGTGTGTGTTTTCTGTCAAGCAAGCACTGTACTAGAATAGCGAAGAATGAAGAACAGGAAGCTTGGATTCTTGAGTTTCTCCTCTTCCCTAAGCAAATTGCATCATTTTCCGAAAGCTTTCTAGACAAAATAGTATATACTTCTACTTGGCAAAATACTGATCGAGATGGTAATACAATCTTAGTTGCGTTTTGACTCTTCGCTTAGACAAAAAATCACTACATACGAATATTATCTGAGCTAAGAGTACAAGAGTACTCGAATAAAAGCGGCACAGAGTTTTGGTGTTCTGGGACTTACTCCCAAGCATCCACACGCCCTAAAGCCTTGGACACGACATCTAGCCTCTAGACCCTAAATTCCCCCAAACCTCAACCCCCCAAACCACTAAACAGAAACCACACCCCAAATTCCCAAAACCCTTATAACCCAAACCTCTCAACCCGAAACCTCAACCCGATACCCTAGACTCCCCAAATCCGAAACCCAAAATCCCCCCCCCCCCCCCCCCCCCCCACTACTCCCGCAAACACCCCCTCCAGGCAGTCGGCTTCTTGATGCATCCCAAGCGCCATGGCTGCGTCAGGGTTTGTGGTCGTGGGTTTCGCAGTTTTGAAAACCATATGCCCCTAAACCCATGAACCCTGACTCCGAAACCCTATGGTCACTTCTCCACAATGTGTATGGTCCCTTTTGGGGTCCTCATTTTGCGGCGGCCACGATTGTTTAGGTACAGTACCCCAAAAGGGACCTTAATTTAGAGAATCCTCAACTCAAACCCTAAACCCGAAACCCTAAACCCGAAACCCTAAACCTGAAACCCTAAACCCTAAACCCTAAACCCTAAATGAACCCATGAAAGGAGTCCCGTCCGCCGACTTCTCGTGGACCACCCCACGGGTTCCGGGAAGACCCGCGAGATGATCCGGGTCGCGACCTCTTTAGCTTAGGGTTTAGGGTTTAGGGCTTAGGGCTTAGGGTTTAGGGGGTTTAGGGGGTTTAGGGTTTAGGGGGTTTAGGGCTTTAGGGCTTTAGGGCTTTAGGGCTTTAGGGTTTAGGGTTTAGGGCTAGGGTTTAGGGCCTGAAAGAGGTTGTAGGGTTGAGGGTTTAGGGTCTGAGTGGGCACCATAGACTGCCCTACAGGAACCCAGCATAGGCTCGTCTCTACTCAGCAGTAGGAAAGGAGTTTATACCCAAAACCCTAAACCCTAAACCCTAAACCCCAAACCCTGAACCCTGAACCCTAAACCCTAAACCGTGGCGGTTAGGTTCCCTTAGAAGCCTCTTTAAACGAAAAGGGTACCCTTTTTATTCCTGGGTTACTCTTGGGTCTAGTATTTATAGGGTCACATATTCCCAAATTCCCTACTAGGAGCCAGCAAGTTGTTGCAGGTCTGGGCGCCTTGAACGACTGAAGTGTTTGGGGTTCGTAGGGTTTAGGGCCTAGGGGTTAGGGTTTAGGGTTTAGGGTTTAGAGTTTAGCGTTCTAGGGCCGTCTCGGGCTACTCCTAAGGATCGGGGCGTGGGGTTTAGGGTTCAGGGCTTCGGGTTCCCAGGAGAGGGTTTGGCGTTTAGGGCTTAGGGGAATAAATTCCGGGACTCAAGGTATATAAAACCTGGACAGTACAACCCGACCCAGGCCTTTTCAGGAGCTATGGAAACTTAGCTGTCGTGCCCCTAAACTCCAAAAGTGTGAAGGTCCAGGTTCAGGGTTAAGGGTTTAGGGTTTGTTGCGCGTCTTTTGGGGGGTCAGGGCTGTGCGGGTTCAGGGGTGGTTACGATGTAGGGTGTAGGGTCGTTTGGGGTCGAGGTTCAAGGGCTTCACAAAAATCTAAGCCCTAAATTCTAAACCCTATCGCTTTGAAGCCCACAAGCCCAAAAATCCACAGCCCCTGCCGTCTTTTGGCTTCAGGGATGGTGGAGAGTTTCAGGTTTGGGGGTTCAAACTTTATCAAAGTTTGGGGCTTAACAGAGTTTAAGGTTGAGGGCATACGGTTTGACCCTATGAGCCGCCCCCCCCCCCCCCCCCCCCCCCCCCCCCCCCCCCCCCCGGCCCCCAAAAGGCTTCGTGATCCCAAGGTTTCGTTAATCTTCGGGAATGCAGGCTTGAGAGAGAGATCTCCAGGAAGCCCATCCAAGCCTTGTGAAAGTATGATTCAGGGGTTTAGGGTTTAGGGTTTAGGGTTTGGGGTTTAGGGAGATTTGGGCTCAGTCTGATCTTCGGCACGATAGCGTACGTGCACAGGGTGAGCAGGCAACCAAGCATGGTAGATCCGATGCCACATGTGGGGGGCACCCTGCCGCCATGTGGGACATCGACCGCCGCTTGCTTGATCTAGATGGGCAGTTCTCTAACTTCTGGCACCCTTCCTTGGGCATTCTAGACAGATTTCGCCGTTGTAGAAGAAGAGCCGTGACCTGAAAACGGATCGCAGTTTCTAGAACCGGCCAGATGTGACCCGGAGCCCCAAACTCTCAAGCGGGTTGACCTAAATGGAAGGCCCGGGGTATCTGAAGTACAGGAGATTCGCAAGGTAACCAGGTAACGTTTACCGCAATTTCGGGTGCTGTTCCAAAAGAAAACTCCTAAGCACAAGTACGGCACATTGCCGCAGGGCTGAGGCTTGCGAAAGCCACATGAGCAGGGGGGGCGGGGTGGGGGGGCGATACCTTGCTCCAAGTTTTCCTTCTTGCAATAGAACCCTTTATAAACGGATCGGCGAAAGGGGCCGAGCCTCCCGGCCCTCCCAAGCTAAAACCCTAAACGCAAAAACCCCAAACCCTAAACCCCAAACTCTGAACTCTAAACCCGCAGGCGCGTTGGTCCTGGACTTGGGTTCGCGAAGAGTTCTTGGGCTTCTGCTCATGCGAGCCCTTGCCTTATGATCCCCAAGCTTCCTAAGACCGAAGACCTAGGGCCTAAACCCCAAAACCCCAAAACCCCACACCCCAAACCCCAAACCCTAAACCCCAAACCCCAAACCCCAAACCCTAAACCCTAAACCCTAAACCCTAAACCCTAAACCCCAAACCCCAAACCCCAAACCCCAAACCCCAAACCCTAAACCCCCAAAGCAAACAAGATCAGTCGTAAGGCCATGCCGCTCTCACAAGTGACGTCGCCGAGCCATCGCGCCTTGGCCATCCCCCTTTTTCTTTGTGCAATTTCGGAGTTTAGGGTTTAGGGCTGTTTAGGGGTTAGAGGGCAGGGCTGATCGAAGCAAACCGTTTATAAGGCGTATTATATAGGGGCCTTAAAAAATGGAATGGGGGTTTGGGGGGTTATATATGTAACCTTATATATAGGACCACAAGGGTTTACAGTTTATAGCTTTTATAGGACCACAAGGGTTTGCAGTTTACAGCTTTTGGTTTAGAGGGCTTAGGGTGCTGAACCTCAAGCTTTTGGTTTAGGGCTAGAGGGCTTAGGGTTCTGAATCCTCAAGCCTCAAGTGAGCCAACCCCTACCTAGCAGTGTAGTTTCTTTGGGGTTTCGGGGTGCGAAGATCCAAGGCCGAGCCTCTTAAAGGGAAGGGGACCTGTGAAAGACAGGATGGAACCCTGAGCCCAAAAACCTTTTCAAGGAACACGAGTGCTTTAGGGTTTAGGGTTTACGATTGGGGTCGAGGGTTGGCCAGACACCCTGCAATACTCAAGGTAAATCTCGGCGAGAACCTTCTCTGTAGGAAACCCTGCACTCAGCCTCCTTCAGACTATGCTCCACAACTCCTCTTAACACCCTAAACCCTAAACCCGAAAACACCCTAAACCCTACGCTCCCTCTAGTCCTCGTCATCAAAGCCTGTATGACAACCGGCCTCAGGGTTCTTAGGGTGTAGGACCCCTAAACCCTGAATCCTAAACCCTATAACCCTCTAACCCTATAACCCTATAACCCTATAACCCTATAACCCTATAACCCTATAACCCTATAACCCTAAACCCTAAACCCTAAACCCTAAACCTCCATATTGGAGTACCCCAGTAGTAGCAGGTACGCATTACCTGGGTCCTGCCAGGGGTCTGGTGGGGTAGCTCCGATCGGACCTCCGCAAGCTTCCGATATTGATGGATCCAAACTCAGGGCCCTAACACCTAAACCCTAAACCCTAATTTTAAACCCTCAACCCTAAACCCTAAAACCCTAAACCCACCCGAAGCCGAGAACCCCAACCCAATTCAGCTGCCAAGGAACTTGCACTTTCCGAACTCCTGCCGCCATCCCAGTGGCCTTGTAGGGCTTTAGGTGCTTTAGGCCACCCTCGGGTTTAGAGAACAGGGTTTATAGTTTAGGGTTTAGGGCCAAAACCCTGATACCCTAAACTCTAAACCCTCAATCCCCCCTTCCCCCTCCCCCACGCAAAAAAGAGGCCATCCTTGGGTTGGTGTCTACAGTATATGAAGTAAGGTTTATATTTCTTGTACCCCCAAAAGGACACCCAATATATATATATATATACTCACCAATACTAAAAAGGACCTTATGTACACTCGCCAACAACAGGAATATCAACCCTGCTTCATATAGGAGGCTGGACATGCAAGCTCAAGTATTCAGTCAATGTTGAGTAGTTCTCTAGATGAGGGGCCCCTTTTGTATCAGGGCGCCGTATTCCCAGCAAGAGACGCCAGTTGAGAGCACGACCCACATGTCTTTGGGGGTTCTAGGGAGGTTTGGGCGTAGGATTTAAGGGTTATTGAACCCTAAACCCTAAACCCTATATAAACCCTAAACCCGGACTCCAAAGCTCTTAGCCGGTTTTCCCATTTAACGCCCGTTAGACAAAGGAAGGGTGCCCTCATTTCATCCTAGGGGTTTAGGGTTTAGGGTTTAGGGTTCATGGGAGGGTGGGTGGGTGGTTCATGGGGTGTAGGCACCTAGGGAACCACAAGGAGGCTTAGGGAACCGTAGGGAGTCGTGGGGGGTACTCACGGGTATTAGGGAAGCTTGGGATACACACCGTCCTTGGAACCCTCTAAGAGGTTGCGCTGGGTTCTAGGGCCTGTGCAAAGGCGGGAACTTCCTTCCCTTCTCAGGGATTGCGGAATAGGGTTTGGGGTGTACGGCTTAGGGTTCACCTAGATGATGGCCTCCTCGCAAAGTTCCTCAGACTTGGTGGTCATGCTTGTCGACGAACTACACAGAAACCCCAGGCCTTAAGCGACCTATTTGGCAAAGTATGGTGTCAACCAATCCCGAAGCCACTCGATGGGTGAAGGCTATCGCCCGGCAGTGAAACCCTACAGGGTGGAGGACCGCAACACGCGTATTCATCTAAGCGTGGCTTTACGGTCCTTTGCCTCTCTTAAAGGGTCCTGAAGTATGGGCCCTTGGGTTTTGTAGGGTATAAAAGGGATCTTCATCTAAGGGCCCATACTACGGGACCATGTAACTACCCTTGGAACTGGACCGTGAACCCTAAAGCCTATAATTCTTATTGAGAAATTGTGGGGCATCCTGCTGCAGATCGCAGGAGGCTTGCGGGGTTTAGGGTTCAGGGTTATATAGGGTGTTTTAATGTTGAACTCTGTTTAGTGTACCCCCCCCCCCTGAACAGTCGAGGCTGGATTTTGCTCTGGTTAGACGGCCCCGGGGGTTGATATGATTTAAATAGGGAGGAGTTCAGATAAGTTCAAAAAGGGGCAGCGATGCCCGGCAATCTTTTTTAAAGGCGCGCCACGTGGAATTTTCTTACGGCGCTCGGACGATTTGACTTTAAACAGGGACTCCCAAACAGTCAGGATGTCCCTAATAACACAGCCAAATTGACTTTCTAGGGGAGGCCCCTGCTAAACAGGGTCCAACATTAGGGCCTACGTAGGCTTAGGTGTTTAGGGAAGAACTTGACGGCAGTTGGCGGTTGGTGTTCTGCATGGTAGATTCAGCGTAAATTCGAAGATCTGCAGCGGGTGGGCCACTGGGTGCCCATGTATCCTTCAGGCATGACTCCCAAAGAGACCCAGAATGGGCAGAATGATTTGTGACAGGAGTTGCCCTAAACCCTCTAAACCCTAAACCGTAAGCCCTAAACCCTGAACCCTAAGATGAGCCTACCGGGGGTGTGCATCTAAACCCTAAACCTAAACCCTAAAACCTGCCTTTTGTGCCCACCCTGCGCATCGCACCTCCCTGGCTCGCGTGGCTGCCGGTAGGACTTCACTGACTGGCCGGCTCTGAAGCAGAAGGCCGCGTTAGGGTTGAGGGATGAGGGGTTCAGGGTTTAGGGTTTAGGGTTCAGGGCTTATGGTCTAGGGTGTAGGGCTCAGGTCAAAACACGAAATTCCCGAAGCCGAGACTTTTCAAACCCTGAGCTTACTTGAGCTGTTTGAGCTCAAGTTTGTTTCCATATGTTTTTTATTTTGCCATATGGGGGGAGTTCTTGAGAGAGAAGCTAGGGGGCCACTTTAGGGCTCAGGGTGCCGGGTTCTAGTTTCCTGGCTGCGCTGGAAGACACACCCAGCCCTAGATTTCATCCTCATCTCAAACTGTTGGATGTAGGGTTTTCGGGTTTAGGGCTTAGGGTTTAGTATTCTGAAAGATCTTGCATGATGTCTTGCAAATGCCTTTCTAGAGCGGTGTTTGTGGATTTCACACCGTGGCTTTGTGTCAGTGCCCTAAACCCTAAACCCTGAAAGCTCAGACGTGAGACAGGCATCACTTGCCATGTCAGTTCGAGGTGTCATCTACCTTTTGAGTCCTTGAGAGAGGGGGGGGGTTCAAGGGGGTATGTAGGTTTAGGGTTTACGGTTTACGGTTTAGGGTTTAGGTTTAGGCTTTAGGGTTTAGGGTTTAGGGTTTGTAACCCAAGGTTCCCTAGGTACCCTACCCCCCATGAACCCACCCCCCCCCCCCTTCAGGACCCTAGCATCTACGTTTAGGGTTTTAGGGTTTTAGGGTTTAGGGTTTAGGGTTTAGGGTTTAGGGTTTGGGGTTTAGGGTTTAGGGCTTAGGGTTTAGGGCAGAAGGGTTGGGTTTGGAAGGTCGTCGCTTTAGGGGCTGACCACACCCTGTAACCGCCTGAACCCTACACCGTCAACCCTAAACCCGAAGAAGCCTCCCTAAACCCTAAGAAGCAAAGGGGTGCCATTTTTGGGGGGGCGGGTGGCTCTAAGTCACGTGCCCTTTTTGGTATCCCAAAGGGTTTAGGCGTTCGGGTGGGGTTTAGGGTTTAGGGTTTAGGGTTTAGGGTTTAGGGTTTAGGGTTTAGGGTTTAGGGTTTAGGGTTTAGGGTTTAGGGTTTAGGGTTTAGGGTTTAGGGTTTCGGTTTAGGGTTCAGGGTTCAGGGTTTAGGGTTTAGGGTTTAGGCTTAGGGTTTAGGGTTTAGGGGAACCCGAACAGCCGAGTCAATGTCGGGATGCCTCGCCCCAGGCCTGGGAGTTCGTGGATGCTCCCTATCAGGCCACCGCAGCTGAGAGTTCAGGGTTTCTGCGCAGCCCAGTGGTAGTTTGGGTTTAGGGTTTAGGGTTTAGGGTTTTAGGTTTAGGGTTTAGGGTTTAGGGTTTAGGGTTTAGGGTTTAGGGTTTAGGGTTTAGGTTCTAGTTTTTAGGGTTTAGGGTTAAGGGCCTAGGGTTTAGGGTTTCCTTAACCCCTTTGTTTGGTCCACCCCCCCCCCCAAAAAAAAAAAAAAAACTAAATAAAGAAACAAAACAAAAACAAAAACAAACAAGACCATCAGTATGGGATGGTTCCTGGGCTACCAAGGCTTAAGAGGGCGTCCTAATTATAAGATGGTTCCTGGGCTACCAAGGAGTTAGGGTGGAGTAACTGCAACCTGCCTGAAAAAGCAAGTTGCGTCTCCCTTCCTTCCTTCCTGCATCTTTTAACTTGAAATTCACAAAGCCTGAAACACCAAACCTCAAGTCGTTTGACCCTCTAGCTTCCTCGCCTCAGCCAACCTCAAAAGCCCCCAAGCCCTAAGCCCTACACCCTGAACCCTAAACCCTAAACCCCAAACCCTAAACCCTAAACCCCAAACCCCAAACCCTAAACCCTAAACCCTAAACCCTAAACCCTAAACCCTAAACCCTAAACCCTAAACCCTAAACCCTACCAACCCGAAACCCGAAGAACTATTGCCACATCAAGGGAGCCGAGTCCTTGGACTTCATCTGTCCTTCCTGGTGGAATGCCACTGGCTGACCCTCAGCTGCGTTTCCTAGGTAGGGTTTAGGGTTTAGGGTTTAGGGTTTAGGGTTTAGGGTTTAGGTTTTAGGGTTTAGGGTTTAGGGATAATTTTCCGGGTTTAAGAGGATCATATTCAGGAACAGTTTTCAGAGGGGTTCAAGGGCCATCTTAGTTTCTGTTTCAGGGTGTGGGAGGTTTATGGGTTGAGAGTTTATGGGTTTTAGAGTTCGTGAGTTTAGGGTTGATTGGTTTAGGGTTTGGGGTTAGCGGTGGGGTGCAGAGCCTTAGCGGGATTAGAGGCCAGGATTGTTAGGGTGTTCGCTTGGGGTGGGTTTCGGGGCCCGGGCGCACGGTTGGGTTGAGGCCTTTAGGTCTTTATCAGACGTAATTACCCTAAACACGTACATACATGCCTGCACGCATGCATGCACGAAGGTAATGTACTGCAATGTACTGTAATGTAATGTGATGTAATGTAATGTAGTGTACTGCACACGTATCAGTATACATGTATGCTGGATTTGGCTGGGTTGCGTTTATGACATTAAAAGGCAGCACCTAAAGCGCAAGGAGCACCCGCTAAGGCTTCCACCCAGAAAGCCCCAAGCACTAAACCTCCGACATCATCCCATATGCGTCTATAACCCCCAAATGGCCTCATCTCCAAGGCAACCTACACCCTAAACCCTCAACCCTAAACCCTGCAACCCTAAAACCCTAAAACCCTAGACCCTAAAACCCGAAACCCTAAAACCCAAACCCTAACCCTAAACCCTAAACCCTAAACCCTAAACCCTAAACCCTAAACCCTAAACCCTTCCTCTCCCGACCCCAAGCTATTTGCAAGGCGAGTGCGATTGCGGAGATTGCTCGGTCCTCTTCGGGCAATGCCCTGTTGGCTTCATGCTCTTCAGGCCGAGGGTTTAGGGTTTTGGGTTTAGGGTTTGGGGTTTGGGGCTTAGGGCTTGGGGTTTAGGTTTTTGGGTTTATGGTTTAGAGTTTTGGGTTTAGGGTTAGCTGTTTAGCATTTTGCATGGGCTGTGTACGGGGGCTTATTGCGGGTTTCAGGGGTTTTTGGGGGTTTTGGGGGGTTGCGAACGGATGGGATTTGGTTTGGGATTTCATGCTTGTTACACTGACATTATAATTCCACGAGCCTTACACCAAAAACCTACCAATCCCTACTCCCTATTATTACTCCCGAGTCCTCCCTTCATGCCTCCCCCGCCTACCGCAATCGAATTTGGGGGGCCCCAAGCAAACCCCAAACCCTAAACCCCAAATCCTAAACCCTAAACCTTAAACTCTACCAACCCCATTTTACGGCGCCCAGCGCTCCACAATCTTGGCCCCACCTTGTTCCGAAGGTCTTTGTCGCTGATCTGCGGTGCGAAGGTGCCAGTCTCCAGTTAACTCCAGGGTTTAGGGTTTAGGGTTTAGGGTTAGGGTTTAGGGATTAGGGTTTAGGGTTTATAGAGTTCAGGGGGGGGGGGGGGGGTTTGCAACCCAAGGCTCCCATAATGCTCTCGCTTTCCTAGGTACATACCCGCCATGAACCCTAAACCCGAAACCCTAAACCCTAAACCCCCCTCCCCTAAGGACCCCGTGAATGCAAGAATTTCTAAATCCAGTGTCTTCTTCAATAGAGCCATGAGCTCAGCCCAGCGACTGCGCGTTGCAGGGTTTCGGGTTTAGGGTTTAGGGTTTTTTTTTGGGGGTTTAGAGGGTGGAGGCTTTAGGGTCTGTAGCCAAAACAGCCGAGTCAGAGGGCGTAGTGCCCCCCCCCCCCATGCAGTCTCAAGTTCCGCACGAAGGATTGCCTTAAGAACCCTCCAAAGTTTCCTGCGCTGTCGGTTACTTCAGAATCCTAAACCCTACAGCCCTAAACCCTAAACCCTAAACCCTAAACCCTAAACCCTAAACCCTAAACCCTAAACCCTAAACCCTAAACCCTAAACCCTAAACCCTAAACCTTAAACCCTAACCCCCAAAGTGGCCCCAAAGTAGGATTTGGGGGTCTGGAGCCCTCGAGATGGCCAGCTTCCCATGGCACCAGCAAACTATTCTAATCACAAGGCCCGCGCTCCTAAACAAGGGTTTAGGGTTTAGGGTTTAGGGTTTAGAGGTTAGGGTGTAAGGGGTTTAGGGTTTAGAGTTAGGTATTTGCTTGAAGAGGGTTTTAGGGGTCCAAGGGGGTTAAGGGTTTCTTTGAAGAGGGCTTTTGCTTGAAGAGGGTTTTAAGGGTCAAGGGTGTTAAGGGTTTGTTTGAAGAGGGTTTTAGGGTCACGGGTTTTCAATGCTAAACCCTAAACCCTAAACCCTAAACCCCAAACCCTAAACCCTGAACCCCGAGCTGTGTGCAGGACAACAAGAACCAACGCTGGCACGAGCTGGCTGTTGTCTCAGCCGATGGTGCAAGGGTTTAGGGTTTAGGGTTTAGGGGTAAGGGTTTAGGGTTTAGGGTTTAGGGCATCCCTTTCAGTTTCTCCCCAACCTTAGGGGGCTTCCCTTATATGGCAGTGGTCTTGAACAGTTAGTCATTCCGCAGAGGTACCATAATTACGATCACCTGTTGCCGGAGTTGTCTCCTGGGGTAGTTTCATAGGCCCTGATCATGGTCCCTTACCTCCTTGAAAGGGTCTGAGGTTTGGGCCCTTAAATTGTATAGGGAATGGGGGGGAGGGGGGGTAAGTATACAAGGCGTCCCCTTCTAAGGGCGTTGTTACAAAGGGACCATGTAACTACCCCAAGATTGTCACCAGCGGAGGAACAACCTCGCTGTAGTCCTTAGGCTTCCAGCGTCGGGCCGTTCTTCTCTCCTTGCGTCTATTGCGAAGTGGGGAGCATCTATTCACAAATCCAAAACCTCCCTCCCCCAATCCCGAAATCCCCATTCCCTAAACCCCTCAACCCTAAACCTTAAGCCCGATATCCGGAATTTTTTTTGAGCGCATCCGCTTCGCACGGAGGTCAAGAAGAAATGGGGGCGAGGTCTTCTGGAGCTGGCACCTCGCTTACTCGAAGAAAAAGGGTTTAGGGTTTAGGGTTTGGGGATCTAGCTGGAGTTGAGCTTGTAGCATTTTGGGTTAAGGTTTAATTATTGTCGAGGCTTTCGAAGCCAGCTTGAAACCCTTTTTACTACCTTGCCTCTTGAGACCCTTCAACAGCCTCACTTTCTGAACACCATTCAACATCATTCTAGCTCTGAAGTCCCTGTTATCAAATGACATGGAGGAAGTCCTACACTTCTTCAAACCCTCTTATGACTCTTATAGCCTTCTGAACCTTCTTCCAACCCTAAACCTTCAACCCTAAACCCTAGTTCAGGAGTACACTGTCTCAAAAACCAGTCTGAGCACCATCAGCCGCTTTCTGCCTGAAGGTCTTCTTATAGCGCCTCTCTTTCACCATTCCCTCAACATGCTTACAACCAGTACTAAACCCTAAACCCTAAAGCCTAAACCCTTTCAGAGGAACCTTAGCATAGAGCTTCTACCCTGGGTCCTGAAGCCCGACGCCCCGCAAATACCCTTTTCAACCGACGCCCCCCCAAAAAATCTGATCCCTAGGCCCTAGGGTTCTGAAGCCTAAGTGGGTTTAGGGTTTAGGGTTCAAGCCCTAAACCCCAGCCTGCCCCCCACAACAAACCCAGGGCCTAGCAGCGTCCTCGTCCGGGCCTTTGGGGTGTTTGTTGGTGTTTTAGCCGTAAACCCTACACCCTAAACCCTAAGCCCTAAGCCCTAAGCCCTAAGCCCCAAGCCCTAAGCCCTAAGCCCTAAGCCCTAAACCCTAAGCCCTAAACCCTAAACCCTAAACCCCCCTAAACCCTAAACCCCCCTAAACCCTAAACCACCCTAAGCCCTAAGCCCTAAGCCCGAAACCCTAAACCCTAAGCCCTAAGCCCGAGACCCTAAACCCGAAACCCTAAACCCTAAACCCTAAACCCTAAACCCTAAACCCTAAACCCTAAACCCTAAACCCTAAACCCTAAACCCTAAACCCTCAACCCTAAACCCTAAACCCTAAACCCTAAACCCTAAACCCTAAACCCTAAACCCTAAACCCTAAACCCCAACCCCTAAACCCTAAACCCGCCTAACTAAGAGCCCGACTGAGCAATGCAGCCCAGGCAAAGCTTCGACTGGGATTTGCCGCCTGGGGGCCCCAGCAAGCGTGCCCACTTGAAAACGAGGGTGGGGGGGGGGGGGGGGGGGAATTAGGGGTTCAGGGGTTGGGTTTAGGTTTTTAGGGTTTTAGGGTTTTTAGGTTTTAGGGCTTAGGGTTCCGGGTTTGGGGTTTGGGGTTTAAGGCTTAGGGTTAAGGGCTTGCCGTAGAGAGAGAGTATGGGCTGACGAGTCTTTTTCGAGGAAGGCGAGTGCATCGCGCCGTGCAACTAGCTGTTGAGGCCGGATAGTCGAGGACCTCGGTTCAATCCCATGAGGGACATGGCGTCCCTCAATCCCCTAAACCCTAAACCCTAAACCCTAAACCCTAAACCCTGGGCGAAAGGATGATGACTGGTGGCCTGCCATATGATGCTTCTTCTCCCCGTAACCCGGAGCTCCACCCTAAACCCTAAACCCTAAACCCTAAACCCGAAACCCTACAGAAAAAAACCCTAAACCCTCAATAGCCAAGACAACGGCACTTCTAGGTCTTGATCTCCCGGGGAGTACCCGACAATGCAGCCTTTGGATGCAGGGTTACTTCGGCGTTTGGGGCCGCAGCCCCTGGTGCTTCAGAGCCCCTAAACCCTAAACCCCAAACCCGAAACCTAAACCCCAATTCCTAAACCCTAAACCCCACAACCCTAAATCCTAAACCCTAAACTCTAAACCCTAAACCCCAAACCCCAAACCCTAAACCCCAGACCCCAAACCCTAAACCCTCGTAGCCGCGTTGGATCTCCGAGGACATCATCGAGTCCGGCTGGCGCCGCCCATGATGGGGTTTGGGGTTCGGGTTTCGGGTTTTAGGGTTTAGGGTTCAGAGTTTGGGGTTCAGGGTTTTAGGGTTCGGGGTTTGGGGTTCGAGGTTTCTTATATCACAGCCCGAACATCCCTTGCCCCAAGACAGAGGCCACACTTCATGACCATCTTGACAAACAGAATTCGGATAGCCGGTAAACCCTATTTGTTTTTGGGGCATCGATTCCCATACCCTTTGTTTGTTATTGGCCTGCACCTATTAGAGGTGTCGCCGTCAAACGCATCGAATCCTTAAACCCTGAATCATATGACCTGCTACACCAGACGCACCCAAGAAAGAGGGCACATGTAACTGAGTTATATTTATATATGTACATTATTTAAGATGTGCAAATACATAGATATACATATGTTCACTTAATTTGTTTAAGGGTAGGGTGTAGGGTTTAGAAGTTTTGGGTTATCAACAGGTGTACATATGTCTATATATATATATATATATATTGTATATATACATATATATATATATATCATGAGGGTGTAGGGATTTAGGTGACCAACAACAACCCTATGCGGTATAGGCCCTTCTTCGGCGTGCTCGCGCGCATTGGCGACCAACTGAGGCCAACTTGCGTTTTCAGCCTTAAACCCTAAACTCTAAACCCTAAACCTTAAACCCCTATAATCTAAGGCTGCAAGTTCCATGAGTTGTGAAGGTTCTATGCTACAACTCTGTGTACCCCAGGGATGTTTTTCGTTGAATGGCCGCTGAGTCCACCCCCCCCCCTCCCCCGGGCACTACAGCCTTCAAACAAAGAAGCCAAGACCCTGTTCCATATATACATTCTCAGCCGAGGGTTTTCCGAAGAGTTTTGGTTCCGGCAGCTTCTTCCTGACCTCCTGACTGAGGCTTCAAGTTTACAGGGTTCAGAGCTTTGTTGTATCCCTAAACCCTTGTCCCTAAACCCTACACACAAAACCCAACCCCAAACCCTACAATCTGGGGGTCGGAATAATTCCTGAATAGCAGTCCCTTATCTGAGCGTCGGAAGAATTCCTGAATAGAATTCCCTTATGGCCCCTGATCTGGGCAGGCTAGACGGGATGACTGAAGAGTTCGCCACAGCCAGTCACCGAGATGTCCCGGTTCCTCCTCCTCTTCCTGAACTGGAACGTCCGAAATGCATACAATTCAGGGTTTAGGGTTTAGGGCTAGGGTTTAGGCTTAGGGTTGAGGGTTGAAGTTTGAGGGTTGAGGGTTTAGGGTTTAGGGTTTAGGGTTTATACCAACGCGATGGCCGCATTTGTAAGTCCCTCAGTATTGGAACCTGGGTGTTATCTAGGTTAGAATACGCCGTAGACCCTAACCCCAAGGCCCTAAACCCGAAACCCTAAAACCCTAAAGCCCTAAACCCTAAACCCTAAACCCTTGCGTAAGCAAGGTCACTAGGTGGTCTGTATAAGTATCCATAAGCTCCAGGTACGTGGCGCCTCAAAACTCACCTTATTCTGTTCTTGCCTTCTTTGTAGATTCTTCCAGGGTTTAGGGTTTAGGGTTTAGGGTTTAGGGTTTAGGGTTTAGGGTTTAGGGTTTAGGGTTTAGGGTTTAGGGTTTAGGGTTTAGGGTTTAGGGTTTAGGGTTTAGGGTTTAGGGAGACTAGAACCCTGACTTAGATCAAGCCTCGCATATTCACAGGGGTTCAAGGCTTCTTTGGCTACATTGTCGGCCCGACAATCTCCGGCTCTTTAAACCCCTAAACCTAAACCCTAAACCCTAAACCCTTTATAGCCTTCATTTCCTGAGGCTTCGTGGCCTGGAAGGCCTTGCAGGAGAGAGTCGCCTCGCGGCAGCAGCGCAGCTATGCCTCTGCAGCGTGTAGCGATGAGAGGACGCTCGGGCATCTTGAGTGAGTCTTGCACGAAGTCCACTTTCCTTGAGCTGCCCATGCTGCTCGGCCACCTGGTGCCTGCCGAGAAGCTTGACATCAAGGCCACGCCGCTGCTCACCCCTTGGCACCATCTTGCTGCGCAGTTTCCTACAGAGCCGGTGGAAGATCGTCCGTGGCGAGCCCTAAACCCTAAACCCTAAACCCTAAAACTCCTTGAAACTCCTCGAAACTTCCCCGGACGTGAACCCTTAATAATTTCAATGAACCCCAAGACCCCCAAGCCCAAACCCTAAACCGCCTGCACAGAACGAGGCGATCATCGCACACGCCGCGGATCCAGACAGTGTGCCTGCGGGAAGCAAGGCATGGTCAAGAGCCTTGCAGGGTTTGGGGTTTAGGGTTTAGGGTTTAGGGTTTAGGGTTTAGGGTTTAGGGTTTACTACTTTGTCTTGGTAGCCCAGTGGTAGCCTTTACCCTTTTTGTTTGGTTCCGGGTTCCCTTATACAGGAACCAACCCAAAACAGGGGTGCCCTTATTATCCAACTCAAAACAGGGGTGCCCTTATTATAATATGGTTGCAGGGTTTACTACCTTGTGTTGGGATGTTCCCCCTTATACTCACAGTCCGTCATCGGGATTGAATAGGAGGAACCCTAAACCCTAATCCCTAAACCCTAAACCCTAAACCCTAAACCCTAAACCCAAACCCTAAACCCTAAACCCCCCCCCCACCAAAAAAAGAACAATAGATATTCAGAAGACATTCAACGCAACATGTTCTTCCTTTTAAGGGTTATGTAGAGATTGTTATCTTGTATTTTGTGGGGGCTCTTGAGTAAATTTCTGTGGTTTTGGCTTACTTTGAGATGTTCACTGTTCAAGGGATGATGGTTTAGTAGTTCGAAGTTCAGGATTTAGAGGGTTGTAGGGCTTTGGGGGTTGAAGGTTGTTTGTGGGCCTTCAAACCTGAACCCTAAACCCTAAACCCTAAACCCTAAACCCTAAACCCTAAACCCCCCCACCAAAAAAAGAACAATAGATATTCAGAAGACATTCAACGCAACATGTTCTTCCTTTTAAGGGTTATGTAGAGATTGTTATCTTGTATTTTGTGGGGGCTCTTGAGTAAATTTCTGTGGTTTTGGCTTACTTTGAGATGTTCACTGTTCAAGGGTTGATGGTTTAGTAGTTCGAAGTTCAGGATTTAGAGGGTTGTAGGGCTTTGGGGGTTGAAGGTTGTTTGTGGGCCTTCAAACCTGAACCCTAAACCCTAAACCCTAAACCCTAAACCCTAAACCCTAAACCCTAAACCCTAAACCCTAAACCCTGGAGCGCGCGGAGCCTTTAGGGGCCTTGGGTGTTTGTGCCGACAGTTGGAGGCGATTGGCCACAGCATGTGTCGGCCACCCAGCCATTCTAGGGTCCTTAAGGGAGGGTTTAGGGTTTAGGGTTTAGGGTTTAGGGTTTAGGGTTTAGGGTTTAGGGTTTAGGGTTTAGGGTTTAGGGTTTAGGGTTTAGGGCTTTGGCTTAGGGTTTAGGGTTTAGGGCTTAGGATTTAGGATTTAGGGTTTGGGTTCATAGGGGGTAGAGAGGGAAGCTTAGGAAAACTTAGGGAGTAGGGGGGAGTAGTGGGGAACCTTGGAGGTTATATACCTCCTTGAGCCTCCCTCCCTTAAGGACACTTTCATGACCTCATGTCCTCGGTTCGTGGATGTCTCGGGCTCATTTGGAATAAGTTTGAAAGTGCTATGGGCGCTGATCCCAACAGAGCCCAAACCCTAAACCCCCTACCCCGTAGAGATTTGTTTTTTTTGTACGGCTCCCCTGAGTTTCCGCGGATGTCGGCTGAGTTAGGATGTCGGGTTTCAGGTACTGGGTGGGGGGGGGGGGGGGGTCGGTGCTTGCGGCACGCTAAACGGCTCAGAGTTCAGAGGAAGGGTTTAGGGGTGGGTCTAGGTTTGGGGTATAGGTTTACTGAATTGAGACCCCTCTGGCCCTGGGGGATGAAGGTTTGGGATCCAGGCTAAACCCTATTAAAAGCACTCTAAACACCCTAAACCCTAAACCTTAAAGTTAAACTCTGTATAGTCTAAACATTCTAAACACCCTAGACCCTAAACCTTAAAGCTTGTGTATATCTAAGCCGAAGCCCTGAGTGGACAGCCTCTAGACTATGTGGGGAGGCAGCTATGTTGAAGTCCCTGAACCCTCTATGTACCCCCAACCCTACACCCTAAAACCCTAAACCCTCAGCCCAAAATTCCTACATCTTGGTAGCCCAGTGGTATCCGAATACCATTCCAAAAGAGAGTAAGTATGGACCCACCATACAGTTCGACACCAAAACACTTCCATAGTGAAGGAAGGCACATGTCTACCTTCCTCCTCGACTACCACCCCCTAGATTACATAAATTTTCCTCGTGTATTCATGAAAACCTATCTCCTATTCTCCTGTAAGCACTATTCCATAATGAGTGTTGCATTTTATTTCCGTATCATTTTGCCATATCTAATTTATACTTACCCCTAGACACTCTGTAGAAAGCATTTTCTAAGTTCAATTAACTTAGAAGTTATCAAGTATCTTCTTAAATGGTCAACACCCTTGAACATTTCCGATGAATAAACATTTCTTTTCGAAAAACTCTTCGAAATGAAGAAGATAGTCAACATACTACATCATCATATTTTTCTCTCCCAATGGAGGCAACGCAGGTTACTGGGCTGGTTACTGGGCTACTCAGAAGTAGTCTCCCTCAGCTGCCCTGCGTCCTAGGCCTCCATCCTTTCAGGCCCTTCAACTCCTGTCAGCCTGTTCACTGTTCAGCAGCAGTTTGGTTGAGGTTTGGGGTTTGGGGTTTGGGGTTTAGGGTTTAGGGTTTGGGGTTTAGGGCGTGGGGGGGAGGGGGGGGGGGAGGAGGAGGGGGGGGAGGAGGGGGGGGGAGGGAGGAGCGGGGGGGGGAGGGGGACGGGGGGAGGGGGACGGGGGGAGGGGGACGGGGGGAGGGGGAGGAGGTGGTGTTTCTTGCAGGAGTGGGCCTCAGGTTTCAACCGATGACATTGCTTGTTGAAATACAACAAGACCCCGACAGTGGATGATTTCCCGTTAGTCTGGCTTCCGAAATA